CAGACCCAAGGCACGAAGAACTGGAAGCTGTACGCGCCGCTCGTGCCCCTTGCTGGCGAGCACAGCGGTGACTTTACGCAAGACATGATTGGCGAGCCGACGATGGAGCTGACGCTGGAAGAAGGCGACTTGCTCTACTTCCCGCGCGGCGTCATCCACCAAGCGTACGTACATATCTACCTCTCGGACCCTCGCCTCATACGCAGCGTGGCCTTAGGTGCACGGGCAGCGCGTTCTCGACGCACGTGACCATCTCGATCTACCACCACAACTCGTGGGCCAACTTTATGGAGGTCGCCCTTCCCCGCATCGTTCGCCGCGCGTTCGAGCACGACATTGAGTTTCGTCGCGGCCTCCCCGCGAATTGGCTCTCGTTCATGGGCACGCAGTTTGACGGCGAGACCAAGGCGGCGACGCAGTTCATGTCCAAGTGCAAAAACCTCGTGGTATGTTCTGTCGTTTGATGTCATGTGTTGGAACGCGATCCTCTCTGTCTCTAGTCGCAACTGCTCCAGCACGTCGAGATGACCGACATGCAAGAAGCCGCCGACGAAGCCGCGCTCGACTTTGTGCAGAACCGCCTTCCGCCGTGGCCGATCACGCCGCCGACGCCGCCGACGATCTCGGCGCTCGACCCGAACGCCAAAATGCGTCTCCCACACAAAGCGTACATGCGCCTCGTCGTGTCCGAGATGGACGGCATGGACGTTGTGACGCTGCACCACTCGCTGCACAACTGCCGCGTGCACCACATGGGTGTGTGCTCGTGCGGCGACAAGGACGAGGACGACGAAAATGACAGTGACGGTCACGACGACGATGACGACGAGGGCGACGACGACGACGACGATGATGATGACGACGAGATGATGCACGAGATGGCGCCAGGCGACATGGTCAACACGGGCATTGCGTTCCCGATCGACTGCTTCCCCGTCCTCATGCACTTGTACAAGACGTCGCCCGGCTTCTCGACGCAAACCGACCTCGCCCAGGTCGCCGACAGCGACGCGGTGCGTGGCGTGCTTCTGCGCTTGATGGCCGAGAACGTGCTCGACGTACAGCGCGCCTGAGCTACGAGACGCTTCAGCAAATTGTCTTTTATGACCATCATCCCATCGTGTTGGCGTTGAGAGCGTTGCACCAACTGTACGATGCGAGGTGGTTGTTGGGAAGGCGGTGCGTTCGGCGAGATATGGTCAACCCCGCGGTTGGCTTGCCAACGGAGGACCTCGATGGCAACGTAACAGGACTCTGGAACGAGATTACACCCGCGTTCTAGGGACCTGGTACATGCCAGCGAATCGAGTCTGCACTCTCGCCATCGATGCTGATGGCAGTGTCTCTGCCGCTGCCACTTGTATGCAACATGACGACCGACTTGGTTGCATTGTTTCACCGAGTGCGACTCGGTTGAGAGAGACGACGTTTATCGTCTGTGAGCTGTGGAACCAGGAGCTTACCAGCAGAAATAGAACTGCGCGCACGAATGCAAGTGCGTCTTCCAGACTCGAAAACATAGTATATCAAATTCGATTTAGGTGTAAGGCTTTAGCTTCAAAGGTGATATGTCTTGCAGCCGGACGTGGACTTCATATTCGGTAGCATGAGTGTTCTTGACCGCGTCGATCGTCTCGACCGATGGATTTTTCAAGATATCAATGACCTTGACAATGCTCGGGCGGTCTTGCGGCTCGATGGCAGTGCACCACTCGACAAGTTGACCGTACGCGAGTTGTACTTGTCTGGCCGTCTCGTCGCTGCCTCCATGTGTGGGCAGGCACATTTGACGGAGAATGGCGCCGAACGCATAAACGTCGGTGGCCCTCGTGAACATGGCGCTTGTGACGACCTCTGGCGCCACGTAGGGACGCTCCAGGTGGCCCATGTGCGTCACGACCGTCGATTCGACACAGCAGTTAAAGTAGGCGAGCTTGATGTCCCCGTCGCTGTTGTAGAGCACACATTCGGGCGTGAGGTAGCGAAACACCAATGCCGGGCCGCCTTTTTCTGGCCTGTGCAGCGCGTCGAGTGCGTGCGCCATGGCATGAGCGACCTTGGCCATGTCGAAATCGCGGTCTCGCAGGCGACTTTGAAGCGTGCCACCGTTCATGTACTCGATGAACAGTTGCGCCCCGCCCGTTTGGAATTCAAGATTCTGGATCTCCACAATGTAGGCAGACTTTGGAGAGCTAATACATACCGTACGTTGTGCAATGCAACCACAGAGGCAGTGTCGTACGCATTCACAAAAGCACGGAGTGCGCTTGTCATCATGGACGGCGACGTCGTCGTCTTGACGACCACCTTGCCGTTGCGCACGTCAAGCGCGGTAGCTCTGGGGTCGAGGTAGGGGTAGGTATCGCGGCTCTGACGTCTGTTCGTCGCAACATTCCGAGCCGTTGCGTCGTGGTCGGCATTGGTGCCGGAGCTTTCCGTGGGGGCTAGCAAAAGGACATGTTCAAAAGTTGCGACCGTACATGCTAGGTATACCGCTCACGGCCAAGTCCGTGGTCGTGAAACCCTACTTATATTATCAGGTGTCGACATCTACAGGCGCCAGTCGGTATCATACGCTCTGAGGTTGGTTGGCATATGAACTCTCTCGCTTCAGCGTCTCGAACAGTTCGCGTCGCCTGATGACCATCGGATCCTACGACATGTCATTGCATACGACGCGCCAATGTTGATGCAGAAATACCAATGTAGCAGTGTCGACGTCGGCGCCGCTAATGGCAAGAACATTCGCAATATTTGTGTGGCCCGCCTCCTGGGCGTAGTAGAGAGCCGTGCAACCGTGCTAAATTATGCCATGAGGGATATCCGTCTTGTAGCGCTCAATGACCTCGTCTGTCCAGTTGACTTGGATGTCATTCCTCTCAAGGAGCGCCCGCGCGATTTGCAAGAGGCCGCCTTTGCACGCAATATGGAGCGCGGTTTCGTCTCTACGCAGCGATGAGAACAATGCAATATCGTCGAGATATTCACTAGTACTGGTAGACGGCGTTGACATCGACGTCGTTCTGGTTCAGAATGGATTCCACAATGGCTTCCATTTGGGTGCGGCAGGCCAAGAGGAGCAGCGTTTCACCATTCTAGTCATCATCGTGACGCGAGTATTCGTACAGCTGCCAGCGGCGTACCAACGAGTGATTGACATGCGCGCCGTGGTGCAGAAGCAGATCCAGGATGGTGACGGCTGTATCCGGCTCGATACGATGGCCGCAGCTCGTGCGTAGTAGCAGCTGGCGTAGCAGGCGCTCGGGGAGCGTGTAGCCGTTCTAGACGCAGACACTCTGGTCAAGCACACGCAGGCCCGCTGGCAACGGACCTCGCAGCGGGCGTCACGGGCCAACGTCGGGTAATTGTCCATCTGTGTTCTCAGCGCACGGGCGTCGAGCGCCTCGACCGCCACCACGGCCGCGGCGACAGCGGCGCCCCAGTCATCGTCCATGACCTAAATTACACTGTGCTCTGACGTCACATCGTCGTCGCCAGGCAGCAGGATCTCACCAGTTCACACAACTTACTCAAAAGTTCCGGATACGATCCAAAATCGCACTACGCAAACCATCTTTGCCAATCAGAATCGTCCATCGGTCTTGTAAACGGCTTGGTATTTGTATGGGACCGATTCGGAAACTAATGAGAAATACGAGTCGGCCTTTTTTCCCTGTACAAATGGATGTGGACAGAAGGGCAATATCAATTTCGGGAGGTAGCGGACTTGCAGATTTCTCATTCTCTTCCGGCTGCGAAGATGGCGACGACGACGGCCGAGGTAGTGGCGGCGAAGGACGGCAAGCCGCTGACGCGTGTGCGTAGATCGACGTGTTTGCGGCCATCGGTCGCGGCGATATCGCCAGCGTCGCTCAGTTCTTGGCGTCGACGGGCAACGTCAACGTGGTCGATGCAGTACGACGGATGAGGCTCTGTGCCAGCGGCTAAGGCCTTTCGTAGGCCAAGACGACGAGCGAGTACACGTGGACGCTCGTGCATGCGACGCTCCACGCAGTCGTTACTGGCCGTCGCGTGCTCGAGGCGGGCGACCAAGCCGCGATGGCCCTCAAGGTGCAAGCGCTGCATGACCAGCAGCTCGCCATCTTGCAGCTCATTTTGCGCTGCGGTTTTAAGGCCGCCGAAGCGTGCGGCCAGGTACTCGACTCGCCCGAGAGTAGTTTTAGATGCGACGTGTTGCTTGTGTAGGACCTGTACGTGCGAAGAAGCCGCCGTGCCGCCGGCACAAGGTTCTTATGACGTCGTAGTGTGACGCTGCCGACCCTTGCGATTCGATGGGTGGAGCCACCATACACGGTCGCGTTCCTAGAGGAGCTCTTCAGCCCCGACAACGATGAGAGCGGTATCACGCCCCACATGTGCGACCTTGTGCCAGTATTGTCCAGAAGCCTCTTGGGATGGATTTCTTACGATGCGTCTTTTGGGTATAGGGCCAGCCGTGTGTCTTTGAGGCCGTCCAGCGCAACAACTTTGCGGCGCTGAAGCTTATTTTTCAACCGTGGCGTCGACGTGACGACGACGAACGTGGTATGCATCGCTTCTGCCTCCCCGAAAGAGCTGACATGGAATGCAGAGAGGCGAGTCTCTGCTCTACACGGCTGCCAAGTTGGGCAATCTGGATGCCTTTGATTTTCTCCTGCGCCAGGGCAGCGACGTCGACCGACCCATTGCACAGGTAGCAAGGTGCATCATAATGAATCGCATGCTCACAGGCGACCTGCGCAGAGCCAAGGGACGCCGTTGCACGTGGCTGCGCGACAGGGGCACCTCGCCATTGTCGAGCTCTTGCTTGACTGTGGCGCCGACACTTCATTGCGCGACAAGAATGTACGCTCTATTCGTTGCCGATGAATTTCGACTTATATTCTGTGAGAGAATAGGGCAACACGCCGCTCATGATTGCGCTCCGCCGTGACAGCGACGAAGTCATCGCCGCACTCATGAGCCGCGACGCTTTGTTCGCGCAGCACGACGACGCCACGAATAGAGACGCGCCGGGCAGCGTGTTGCACCCGGGCACGTCCAAGGGCCGCGACGTGGTCGTGAACGAGTTCAACAAAGCTCACGACCCGTCGAAATGGGCCGAGATCGAGGTCCTCTCGAGGTCGTGTGCGATTTGTCTGGCATACTGTGTGCTTACTTGCAAATGTAGTCAACCCAAGAAGCTCCATCCCGTCGACTCTGACCCGGAAGAGCAACGTATCTCGTTGGCACTCGAGCCCACGGCAGAGAATCGGCTTCGGAGCATCGACAAAGGTGACCTTCCGCTGGTAAAGAATTTGCGCATCGTCCATGGCTTCAACGACGCCAACGAAATGCTACTTGGGACGTACTCACAGACCAATGTGAATCTCGTGTAGGATGCTTGCGAGAGTATCCACATGGATGCTTCGCGCAGTGGCCACATCGATGTTGTCGACGGTCTGCTTGCCGCTTGGAAGGTCCACCCAGATTCCAATGTACATGAGCACAACGTCAATTTTGCGTAGAAAGGCCAGACAGAACTGGCCGCCGCAGTTGACAACTGGCGCCGTGTCTCGGCCCAAACCCTGCACAAGTGCATGTACCCGCGCCCGGTGCTGGTCAGTCATTGACCATATGTATCGATGGTCTTCAAACTCAGTCTGTAGGCGTCACTAGGCGCCATTGTCCTCGGCGAGCGTCTTTCCCGGCAAGACCTAGTCGACCACTATCAGGCTTCATTTTTTGGCCGCAAGGCATTCGTCTTGAAGGGGCCACGGCTGCCGCTGCGCTCCGTCACTAGCCAAATGCGCGACGAAGTGGAAGCGATGCAATGGTAAGTTTTGCATTATTTCCATTGCTTGGCGTCGATTAAATCTGTGCTTGGCTAGCTGTGCGTCCCCATATCTGCAGCCACTGATCGCGGTGATCGACAATGGCTCGTCTGAACCACTCGCCACGCTACCGAGCGGCGATGCTCTATACAGTCCGACGTTGCTCTTTGAGTACATGGACGGCGACTCTCTAGAGACGTACCTGCGCAAGAAGCGCTTGGGTCTCGACGTCCCACGCAGCTACACGCCCCTTGATGTTGCGTGGGTCGTCGCCAACGCGTTGCGCGATCTACACAGCCGCGGGTATTTCCATCGAAACATCAAGTCCTCCAACATTTTTCTGTCGTCGACGCACTACATTCGACTCGGCGACCTCGGCTCGGCGCGAACGATGAGCGACTCGGTGCCTCCGGACGTTGGCGCCAACTTTTGGACGGCCCCTGAACTTTTACGCGCTGGCGCTGAGAATCCCTATACCACAGCCTCGGACATTTACGCGTTTGGTGTCGTCCTCGCAGAGCTCGACACGGGCGACGCGCCGTATGCCGATGTTGCCGACCAGAGTCGAATTCTCCAACAAGTGCGCGACGGCAAGCTGCGCCCGAAGATGAGCGCGAACTGCGAGCCATGGTTTCGAAGACTGGCAATCGCCTGCATGGAGTTCTATCCATCCATGCGTCCGTCGACCGCCGGAATCGTTGCGATACTGCTCGCACACCGTGGTGACGACGCCAAGGTCGCGTCAACGAAAGCGCGTTTGTCGGCGACGATCAAAACACCGTTGGCGACCGAGGTGAATATGCGGTATGACTGACCATTGGTTTTCAAACAAGTGTTGTAGGCCATGTAGCATGCGGTGTCGCTCGCGAGCTCGGACCCAGCTTCCAGTTCTGATTTCCCAAATACTTGAACCTTTGAATGCGTATGATGCACCGTTTTGCATTTTTGATCGCTCAATTATGCAGCAGCTTGCACAACCTACAGGAGGGAGCAAGATGATATTACCCTGCTACTCCAGATGGTCGAAGAGACGTCGCCCGAGACGACTGCCCCTGCGGTATCGGGACCTTGCGATCGCGTGCATGCATGGCCGCCGAGCCAAGCGCTCGCCCTACTGTGACCGAGATCATTCACCGTCTGGAGCGTCAGCTGCTTTAGCTGGAACGAATCGAGTTGTACACAAAGACATGATTGACTCCTAGCGATCGATGCAATCGATTATTCTTTTCTGCTGTTTGGCGTTCACAGCACACACGTTCAGAAGGCAAGGGTGCGTACGTAGAGCTTGCTACGGTGTACTAGCAATCCACTAGGAACGATCGCAGGTAGTAATACCAAGGGTCTCCACTGCAACCGAAGACGACGAAGCGACCTCACACGACACGAGTTCATACGGACACAGCGCATGCCGTTTGAGCTTATATATATATATGAACACAGAGTCGTTTTTGACAACACACAACTTGACAAGCACTACTCGACTGTGCTTCCGTCGCGCGACTTCTCCTTCAAAGTGTCCATGATCATCGACACCGCCGGGCGGGCGCTCGGATCCGTCGCTGTGCACTTGATGACCAGCTCTTGAAACCATGGAGGGCAATCGTCACGAAGTGAGGGACGCAGACCGTCGTCGTGTGTCGGCGCCGCCGAGCTGCCCCGGTAGAAATCGAGCTCGGCGAGAAGCACGCCAAACGCATAGACGTCCGAGGCGAAAGACGACCCGTGGAGCGAAACCTCAGGCGCCATGTAGCGCGCAGTCCCATGCACATTCGCCGCACCGCCTCGCAGCCAGCTAATGCCAAAGTCGACGAGCTTGACGCGACAATGGTCGTCGAGGAGAGTGTTTCCAGGCTTCACGTCGCCGTAGACGACACCCCTCGAGTGCAAGCAGGCGATTCCTCGGATGATGCCAAGCGCGATGCGATCCACCTCTGGCGGCGAGAGAGGAGGACCTTTCTCGAAGCGCTCGCGCAGACTCATTGGCATGAGCTCGAGGACCAACGAGACACGCCCCTCGTTCTTGTCGATGTCGACGTGCAGCAGCTTCACAATGTGCTCCGAGCCGGGTCTAGATCGCATTTTTTAGCAATTTACACCACGCTGCAAGTCGCTCGGTACCGTACCCCACCATCCGCCCCAGCATGAGAACCTCGAGCTCGTTCCACACCGACGGGTCGAGCACATTGTGGAACTGCTTCACGGCCACGTCGCGGCCTTTGAACGTGCCCCGATACACTTTGCCAGACGAACCACGACCCAACTCGGTTTCGTGCATGACCAAGTCGTCGTGAGAGTCGTGTTTGTTGAGCGCGTCGATCACTTCTTGCTCACCACCCAGTGCAATCCTGAGCGGCGTGTTGCCCTATTCTCTCACAAAATATAAGTCGAAATGCATCGGCAACGAATAGAGCGTACATTCTTGTCGCGCAATGACGTGTCGGCGCCATATTCAAGCAGGCGCTGGACAATGGCGAGGTGCCCCTTTCGCGCAGCCACGTGCAACGGCGTCCCTTGGCTCTGCGCACGTCGCCTGTGAGCATGATTGATTTATTATGATGCACCTTGCTACCTGAGCAGTGCGTTGGTTGACGTCGCTACCCTGACTCAGAAGAAAATCAACGGTATCCAGATTGCCCAACTTGGCAGCCGTGTAGAGCAGAGACTCGCCTCGCTGCATGCTCTCTTGGAGAGGCGCGTCAATGCCGTCAGTGGAGAGCTCCGCCAAGGTGTCGGCCTAATCGTGATGAGCAAGCGACGAGCAATGCTATCGTTTGCGCACCGACACGAGGTCGCCGCCCATCAGCTCTCTGAAATTCCAAATGGCTGCAATCGAACCTAACAACCCATCGATCAAACTTAGCGGGATGCAGCCGAGATACGTAGGGTCGCTCGATTGTCGCACTTTAAACGTCTCGTCGAACTTAGTCTACTCCGTGATTTAGCGCACTAGGTTCCTGGAGGCATGGCTGCTCAGTACCGGGTAGGTGCAATGTGCCAATGGCTATCGAGCTCCATGGTGCACTACATCGTTTTGCAAGCTGCATCGCCAGGTGGCCGGTGCGGTACGTCGAGCCATGCACGACACCTTGGCGTTTTCTGCTCCACAGTCCCTGCCTCTTTGGCGCTTGGCTGCCGTAAGGAGAACGCAGTGGTGAGTGCATTTTGTCTAATCACATACATGCACTGTGCGGACAGACAGAGAGGCCACTGCATTCTTAACGCAGGGATTGCAGTTGCCGTTGGTTCGTCTTTAGATGGGATGGTACTGTTGCTACCTGGCAGCGGTAGCGGTATAAGCCTCGGTGCCTCTTCAAGAAAGGCGCTCGGAGAAACAAAGCACCAATTATCCGGACGTTATACGGATACCGGCGACGGCCAAGCAAGTGGCACATTCGGCAGCCAACTGGAGAAGATCCGTGGCTTGATGGTGGACGTGGACGGCGTCTTCTCGCACTTCCAGGCGACGCCGCTCAAGCTCAAGCGCCGTGCACCATCGGCGCCGACGGTCGCGAGGCGTAGCCCGCCGCAGAACCCAGCGCCGGCGCGCCGCCACCGAGTACCGT